GGGATCGGTGTGTGTGTGTGTGTGTGTGTGTGTGTTGGGGGCTGGGGGCCGGGGGCGGCGCGGAAGCCGGAGCAGATCGGCCCGGGCTGAAGGGCGGGGCGCGGCGGCCGGGGACTCTCACCTGAAATTGGGCGGCGACGCGATGTGCAGCCCCAGGAACGGGGAGGCGGCAGGCGGGGACGCGGCCCCCCCGCCCAGGCCGCCGCTCTCTCGCTCCGCCATTCTCCGGCACAGCCCTGGCCATCCGGGCGGAGCGCGGCGCAGAAGCGGCGGCGGCGAAGGCGGCGGCGGCGGAGGGGAAGGAGGCGGGGGCGCGGCAAAAGGCCGCCGCCGCCGCGGGGCTCGGCTGGGGCGGGCGCGGCGGGCGCACCTGCGCAGGGCAGGGCGCGGCTCCGGACCGCGCGCCGCTCTCGGGACTGGCGCGAGCTCCGCCGCGCGCCCCCGCGCCCTCGCCGGCGTCTCGTACGCTCCGCCCCCGCCCCGCCCCCGGCCCCGCGAGCCCCGCCCCGCCGGCGCTCTCCGAGGTGCTGAAGTGGCGGCGCCGCGGCCCCTGGGCTGGCCCAGCCCGGCTCTGAGTCCCACACTGACTCCTCTGCCCTCTTCCCCATCCGGCAAGGTCCTCGTGTCCTGTGGGTTCTGCCCCTCGGGTGCGCCTAGAGCCCGGGTATAAGGGAATTAATGGCGGGACCCTGGTCCCCAGGGCCCTAGTTGGTCCCCAGCAGCAGACAAAGAAGGCGGACAGGAAAGGAGGGCCATTGGAGGAAGGCAGAGAAAGGCGAGATGGTGTCGGGTGTGGGCTAGAGCAAGCCAGGTTTGGAGTCAGGTGGTGTGAAGCCTGGCTTCCCAAGTGAATAGGTGGTGTGGCCTTGCATTAGTGACTTCACAGTCTTAAGTTTGATTTTCTCATCTGTGAAATGGGGACAATAATGGTCCCTCTCATGGTTGTGGTGAGGATGAAAAGTGATACAAGTATGTTGTCACCGGAGGCAGGGAACACCCCACCTCCTGCTAGGATCCAGGTCTCACTCGAGGGACCCTCTCATGGTCTTTCCCTAGAGGGTCTTCTCGCTAAGATTGACCCAAGCTCCCCTTCAGCCCCGAACAGCTATTAATGGTGAACTGAACCCTTCCTCTTGGCTTCTCTCAGTTTCTCCTCCCTCACACCAGGACCTTCCCAGATTTCTCTCACTTCTCACTTAGCACCTCAATTGCATGTCCTGCAGAGCACCTCTCTTTTGCACCCACAGACACCCCATGGCTGGCTTCTCACATTCTAAGACTAGGAGCCAGCCTTTATTCCTGCTGCCATAGTTGACTTCTTGGGATTCTTCTTGCGGTTTTTCTGTTCCCTCCAGCACGTCTAACCTCTGCCAGTTTCGGCCATGGGTCCCTTCTGGTCTATCCCCTAAGAGGGCTAAGCCTGTGAGTTCTTCTACAGAACATAGACTGCTGGACACTCAAACTGCTGGCCAGGGCTAGGGCCCCAGCTTTGGTGGGTCAAGAGCCTCTGACCAAACCTCACTGGTCTCTCTGGCCTCCTGAGAACTGCAGAGGCCCTGTCCTTACCTCTCTGAAGAAGGGGCAGAACAAACTGTTTCACAGCTTCTGGGATCCTATTTGCAAATCTGGACTGCTTACTGATGTCACCCACTTTTCCTTCAATGTGGCACCCAGAAAGGAGCTGCAGGCACCTGCCCTGCAGGAAACAGCTCCCCACCTCCAGCCCTGAGAACATCCTATTACCTAGTGCCAAAGGCTCTTCTCCCTGCCTGTGGGCCCAGAGGAGTAGCCACTTTACCTTTCCTGCTATCCTGGCTCAGCCTTCTTTTTTTTTTTTTTTTAAAGATTTTATTTATGTGTGAGAGAGAGAAAGAGAGCATGAGAGGGGGGAGAGTCAGAGGGAGAAGCAGAGCCCCCGCTGAGCAGGGAGCTTGCCGTGGGACTCGATCCCGGGACTCCAGGACCATGACCTGAGCCGAAGGCAGTCGCTTAACCAACTGAGCCACCCCAGCGCCCTCAGCCTCCTTTCACTAGGACCAAACAGTAACCACCTTCTGCTCTGTTGCCTGGCTTTTGCTCCCAGGAAAGCAGTCTTGCCACTGTGGCTAATGATTGTTGCTTAAGAGTGTGTGCTTGCCTCAACTAGGAGCATCCTCAGGTCAAGAGTGTGTGTGTAAGACAACTCCATTTTCCAGAATCTTCTGCTTAAGAACAAAGCTATTGTAGCTCCTGAGGCCAAGCCAAAGCCACATTAGAGAGAAGCCAGGAGACGGGAGAGGGGAGGACAGGTCCAGGTCTTGGTGGGAAGGAGCTTCAAAGCAGAGCTAAGAATGAGATGAATCCCAGCACCAAGTTCCTCCCTTTCGCCCCTTTCTCACTCTGTGCAGGGCAGTTTGTGTATTCTTGGGCCCTGTCTGAGCCCCTGCCCACATGAAGTTGGGGTGTGGTGTGAGCGAACAAAACTCTTCCAGGGATCCAAGGCTAGAAACCATTGTAGAAAAGCCCATATACACTACAGAGAGAGGCAACTCTCTGGCCAGATGCCATGAGACAAAGCCAGCATCCAGGCCCTGGGCTTGGCTGTGGGCAGATCTCCAGCACCTAGCTAGAGTCAGTGCTTTGCCGCTTGCATCCCCTCCACACCACACAGTGCTCAAGTGGCTGAGTCGAGATAAAGGATGGCTTGAGGGCCTGGAGAGAATCCTGCCGCTGACTGAGGTCGGCCCTGGGGCTTTAGGTGGCCCAAGAGGCTGAGTCACTGCAGGATAGCACTCAGGAACCTCATCCTGGGCCTGGAGTGCTCTGTACCATTCTGATGACTGACCCCCCCCAACTCTGGCCAAGCTCTGGAGCTGCCACTAGTCTGTCCTGCCTGCTCACCTAGGGACCTCCTGCTTCCTTCATCTCTGTCCATCACTCTCCTCCCTGCCGAGTCTGAGGAGAGGTGAGAAGCTCCTGGTTCCAGCAGAACCAAGATGGTCTGGCATAAGGCTTCATTCAGGCTCAGCCTTACTGACTCCTTCCCAGACCTCCCACAAGATTGACGACAACACAGCTTTGCTCAGACAGGATCAGACATTTATGGAACAAGTGAATATTCACAAACTGTGGGAGAAACACACCTTCCCAGTAATAAGAAAATCTCTGTATAAAGTGCATTTTGCCTGCGACCATCTCTTCCCCATGCTGGCCCTTAGATTAGGATTTGGGTCAATGTTCTGTGGCAGCCCCGGGGACACCTGGGCCAGAAGAGGGGAGGCATGAAGCCATTGTGGAGCTCTGGGCCACTGGATGCACCCTTCCCTTACCCTGACCCTCCCAGCTCCAGGAGTGGACCGCTCTATTCCACTGGGAATGGGCCAGCTTGCCAGGGATGGTGAAGGAGGGGGAGGTGGTCCCGCCAACTTGTACCTCAGGGAAAAGGGCCATCATCTAATAGGCAGGAAAAGGGAAACATCCTGGTATTTGCAGGTGCTGCTAAACAAATCCTGACTCTGGCCCCAAGCCCTCTGGCATTCTCAGTTTCTCAAAATAGCCCTTCCAGACTCGCTCTCCTCCTCTTCTGGCAACAGCCCCCAATTCTCTTTCTTTCTGGCTGGGGCTAAGGGAACAGAGAAGACCCCAACTCAATGCTCTGAATAGACACCATCACCCGTGCCCTGCTTCCCCCACATGATTACGGGACATTTCTAGTGGGGGTGACATACATACAACAGTTGGACTCTAAAGCAGCTCTCTCGCTGAGAAAACCTGAGGACATCTCAGGAAGAAGCCTGTCAAGGTGCTGGACAGCTGAGGGAACAGAGGCCTGACCCCAGGGTTCTGGTCCGAGGACAGAGAAGAACAACGAGGGACAGGGCAAGGGCCAAGGCAGTTAACAGCTATGAGGCTAGGAAAGGTCACAGGGGAGGTAGAGAGGAAAAGGCCCAGAGGCCAGCTTAATGTTACACATGAGGACAAAAATCCGAAGAGCAATTAGCCTCTCGGTTACACACGCACCTGTACGTACACACACGCACGCACGTGCGCGCACACACACAAACACACACACACTTTGTGGCTCAAGTGCAGGCCACAGGGTGGAAGGAAGACTTGCTCTAGCTGACCACACAGTCCTTTTCATTATGTCTTTCTCAACACAGGCCTTCGACAGCGGGAGGGTCGAGGTGGGAGGCTAGGCCACTCCTGGAATGCAAGGCCTTGGCTTCTCTGGGTCAAACCTCCCACCTGCTGCTTCTGGAAGGGTTGGTGTGCTGGGTGAGATCTCTACTCGGACATTTCCCAACTGTCCTGGCAGTTCCCACCCGAGTGCACCTGCCGGGGTCCTTGGTGTCCAGCTACTGGAAGAGCTGATACGGCAGCTTGGATGCTGATCAGTCCCAGGCAGGCCCCAGAAGCCTACAGACCACGGGACAGAATGGCTTTCCCGGCTGGGTGTCAGCTGACCTCAGTGGCGGTGCTGCAGTGTGGCCAGGGGAGCCAGGGGGCTTTCTGCCACCCGAACCTGGCTTCTTCCCGGTGGAGGCACTGAGTCTCCACAGTCAGTGCTGAGGCTGGCGCTCAGCTTCTGAGGAAGGAACAGTAAAAGCTGGGATTCAACTCCTAACCTGAGGTTTTCAGCCCCAGAAAGGTGGATGCACTTTTTAGGCTGGCGTCTACAGTACTGTGTACACGGCACACTAGTCAGATATCTGGGTGTACCTCCCTATGATGGTGGCAAGTTTTCAGATCTGTTTACAGCCTCACGCTCAGTCCCAGATGCCTGAGAGGGCTCTGGAGGACCCAGTGGCAGGAAATTTTAAAATAAGGAAGAAGCCAGACCAGGTGATTGTATCTGGACAGCATCTGTCCCCTCCAGCCTGCCCAGCCTTCCACGTCATAAAGCAGGAACACTGCAGGGCCCTGGCTGCTTCTAGAATCCTATCCTCTGGACAGAAGCCAGCAATGTTGCCCTCCTGCTCCTCAGTCTGCTGTGATGAGAGAGGGGTGGGGTGGGGTGGGGCAGATGCCAGAATCCCAGCTGGGTCCCACTACTCTTCTATTCGGACAAGGCAGCTGGCTCCCAGGGGCAGGTCTGGCTGAAAGTCACTGCCATGACCTCCAGCCTCGTGTCTGGAGGCTGAGGCGAAGCTGCTACATGTACTCCTCCAGCCCAAGCAGTGTTCAGAATCACAAGAGTGTAAACAGATGCATGCACACGCAAACAGGCACACCACTCCTTCCCCCGCACACGCGTACACACATGCACACATGTTCGCTCCGTCTCCGTCGGTGATCAGCTTTGCTGCAGGTCGCACTCTGCTGCCACGGCGGCTGCTCGGGCTCCCAGGCTTCGCTCACGGAGCTACAGTGCTGCGGCTGAAAGAGAAAAACAAGGGCACAAAGGAGTGCTCAGGAGGCTGCTCGGTTGCCTGGGGACACAAGCTCCTCAGGCTGCTTCTCTGGGGACACTCAGACCGGGAACTAGGAAGAGCCTGGCGTGAACTGCATGGGCCACAGTACCTGGGATGCCACCGGGGGCCTGACCACTGCCCCTCGGAGGCATTGATGCAGGACAAGCTCCCCTTGCAGGCCCTCTGAGCCTCCTTGGCTCCAGGGCTCAGGGCAGGGGGAGGAGGCCATATGGACTCACCTGAGGCCTTGGGTGATACTCGCTCAGAGGACAAGGGCAGTTTTCAAATCGAGGCACAGTGGCGGCTGCCAGAGACACTCAGAAAACAAGCTGGAGAAGAGAAGCCAGCTGGGACCAGTAATTTGAAGACGAAGGCAATGACTGAGTTTAGAATCAGCAGGTGAGCACATTTCCACATACAGATAAAAGAACCCTGGCACTGTGTGAGAAGATGGGGGCGGGGGGGTGCAAGTATCACAGAGACACAAGGAGGAGTCATTTTCAATATTTATAACATCCTGAACTTGGAGCAGAGGGAAGAAATGGCCTCATGCCTGATAACAGAGGACAGGGTAAGCCAGTCATAATGCGGGGTTGTCTGCTTAAATAGTTCTAGTGTATTTGAGAGTGTACAGAGACATGCGGGGTTCCATTAAAGGTTTGTAAGTTTAAATGATGGTAAGGCAGATGATAATAAGGCTCACTGTACCTAGGGGTGGTCAGGCACTATACAGTTGTATTTTTTTTTTTAAAGATTTTATTAATTTATTTGACAGAGAGAGAGCACAAGCAGGCGGAATAGCAGAGGGAGAGGGAGAAGCAGGGAGCCCGATGCGGGGCTCGATCCCAGGACCCCGGGATCATGACCTGAGCCAAAGGCAGATGCTTAGCCAACTGAGCCACCCAGGGACCCCTATACAGTTGTATTATGGCTGAAATGTGTCCTCCCCCAAATTCATATGTTAAAGGCCTAAGCCCCAGTACCACATAATCTGACTGTATTTGGAGAAAAGGTCTTTAATCAGGTAATTAAGTAAAGTTAGGTGATTAGGGTAGGGCCCAATCCCATATAACTGGTGACCTTATAAGAAGACGAGATTAGGACACAGGCACACACAGAAGGAAGGCAGCCACCTACAAGCCCCGGAGAGAGAGAGGCCTCGGAGGAAACCAACCTGCCAGCACCTTGCTATCAGATGTCAAGCCCTCAGAACTGCAAGAGAATACATTTCTGCTGTTGGAAGTCCCCCAGTCAGTGGCACCTTACAATTGCTGCCCTCACAATCTAATATAGCTTGTGATCCTGTTAATCCTGAAGATATGGTCTCCATTTTTACAGATGAGAAAACAGAAGGTAGACAGGACAAGTGCCCCAGGATGATAGCATCAAAAGTCGCCGAGCCAAGCCAGGAAACTCAGGTCTGATGCCAGCACTCGTATTTTTACCATGAAGCAATCTCTCTATCATAGTATTGCTCATCAAGACTTACAGAGGATATAAAAGGAAACTCAACATGGTGGCATGAAGGCCAATACACATCCGAGCAACATAAATGGAACTTCGGAATTTAACAGAAGAGGGAAAAATGCTCTGAGGAGTCAAAGACACTAGAGTCAGAGATTCAAAATCAGTCTTCTGACACATGCAACCCTTTGAAGACAAATGTGAAATCTGAAGATTTTATCTGGATGATGATAAGTTATCTAGAAGCTAGGGAATATAAAGAGCAAACATAAGGGCGGGTACCTGAATGGGTTAGTAGTGAGTGCCTCATTCTTTAACCTATGTATTATTTTCAATAAATATTTTCCTTTAAGCTTGTACCATAATAAGCTAGCCATGTTTTTCCTATAAATAAATATATCAGTTTCTAAAACATGCACATGTTTATTGAGACATGCTGTGATATATATTTTACATACAGGTCTCGCTCTGGCCTCTGTTAAGCCAGAGATGACTTTGCTTCTGAAACTGCAAATTTCAGGATTGGAGAGCATACCGGAACAGGTCCTTTTCCCGATACCTCTGTTTATCGTGTTTTCTCCACCTTTTTGGATAGGGGAAGATAAAGAGTGCATAAAGATTCCTTAGAACACAGGCTCTTACTCTGGGGTTCTTGGACTCTTTAGTGGTCCAAGGATAGGCTTAAGGGGCAATCCATGAGGCCCTTGAAGATCGGTGTACATTTTCCTGTGTGTGTGAATAGCTACCACTTTCTGGGGAGGCTCCAACCTTTATCAGACTCTCCCAAGCATGGGTAACACCAATAGGATTTGCGAACTAATGCCTACATATGGCTGGAAAAAAATATATTACTAAATTAATTTCACTTATTTCTCAATTTAGTTACTAGAAATTTAAAATTATACTTGGGGCATGCATGGTAGATCTGACGGGACTGATCTAGAGTTTGAAGCAATGAAGTCTTTGTAACTAGGGAGAGAAAAAGCCTCCTCTTTTCCAGATTCTCTGATCAAACACCTGGCAATCTAATTGTGTAGGCAAATTGTTTAATTGTAGCCAGTGATCTTCATAGCTTCTGGCAAATTTGTCTCTAAGTGCTTCCAATAGTTGCTTATAGAGCTAGGGCTTAGCAACAGAAGGTGAGTGGCTCAGAGGATACTGGGTATGTGTTAACAGACTAAGGACTTCCAGGCTCCCTCTCCATTTTGATCCTACAAGGGAAGAGACGTGCACTTATTTCATTGGTCAATGGCACTCCACGGTGGCTGTCCAGGGTCTGTATGGGGCCTTTATGGAAGAGCGGACAAGAGCCCTGCCTTCACTCCTGAGATCATGTGAATAATGGATACATGTACTTGCTAAGAGCATTGGCTTGCTTTCGGTTAAAAATGCCCTTTTCGGGGCCAGGTTTAATTCAAATACTTAGATGGTCTTTTTACCAAAAAGCATCAAAATCCTTTCTCTCTTTTTCTTTTTTAGCTGTTCATCTTTATTACGTTTTCTTGGGGAATGCCTAAGACTTCCCAGGTCACTGAATGTATAGCAAACACTATTTTTGAATCAGGTGACTTGTGAGCATCTTTAATCAAATTTATAAGATTATTTTCTAATATGCTTTGCCTGTCAACTTTCTTGGTGATTCTTTTACACCCCACAGTGAAAATGACCCATCATACAATCTGTTGACAGCATTCCCTGAATTCAAATTAGGCTTATAATGAATCTCATGTACTTTAAAGTATGATAATCAAGAGGCTACATTCTTTCATGTGCAACATTTCCCTTTTTTATCTGGCATACACTGGTAACGAGTGGGAATTCCAGTCTACTACGAGAGCCTAAGATATACCCTGTTGCCTCCACATCTAAAATCCGAGCAATGCATTTGTCAGCTCCTCAAGTACTCCGCATCACAATTCAACATTTTCCAAAGGAAAACAACAAATGCCTAAACTGAGAAAGGAAGCAGTCAGGTGGTTATAAGGCTAACACTTCAGACCCATGCTGACTTGGGCATAATTGTGTTATGGGGCAGGCTCGGGAAGGGAGCTGATAGTGTGTGGCCATGGATAAGCCCCCGTGACCCAAGTCCCTCTATGACCGGTTCACAACCACAAACACAGAACACCAAGGTTTGGAAGAACAAGCTTGTTCTTGTCCACAAAGTTAGTCAAAGGCCTAGTCAACTAGTTCCTCAAGCTACTTGATCAGCAGATAACTAGACAGTTCCTGTGCTCTTGTTCTCAAGCCAGCGCGTAAGTCTGCTGAAAAAAGGGGCTGGGGAAATGAAATGAGGCCCTGCAGGAAAGTGATGACAGCAGCACGAAAAGAAAGGGAAGAACAGCTTGGGGGAAGCACCAAGGGAAAAATCAACTCATGAAACACTGCTGAAAAATCAATCTCTCAACTGTCCAATTCTTTCAACCTGTCATTAAACACAAGAACCCCAGAAGCAGCTGCTGGAAGACAAAGCGAGTTAATACTGCCTCCCTCAGTGCACCCAGTGTTAAGATTACCCCCCGGGTACCTGTGTACCAGATGCTAACAGGAAAGCCCAGTGTGTGAGGCCACCATGCCCCTGATCCTAGCCTAGGACAGGTGTGCGGATGAAGTGCACACAGGAGCTTGCGTCAGCAGAGGATTCGCAACAGCTCAAGGTTGGCAGAAACTTCGTTTGGAGCCTGTAACCAAGTCTCAGGGCCCAGGAGCTTGAAAGGGGCAGAAGGCTTGCTACAGGCTCCAAGTTAGGAACAGGGAAGAACAGAGGTTCAGCTGGGCTCTGATGGGCCAGGATGGAGTACAAAGCTGGGCTCTCAGCTCCGTCTCTTTCCTCATGTCAACGACACACTTTCCCTTCCTGCACCATACAAATCCTACAGCAACAGGGAGGGGACGTCAGTCAGCCAACAGCTGCTGGGGACGGGGTGGGAGGCAGTGCAAAGGGACACCACCATGCGTCCCAACTTCTCATTTCCATGGTGAGAAGTGAAGAGGGGAGGCAGCTCGGCGGGCAAAGGCTCCCAGGCCGTGAGCGGCAGGAGGGCAGCGCGCTGGCTGGTCTGAGCGGGAAGCCCGGATACCACAGTGTCCACTTCCACTGTGTTGCATTTCAGACTGCCCACTGCCTTTCACACACGCTGGTTCACGTAAGGAGGGATACACAACTGAAGAAGTGCCAAAATGACGAGGCGATCCCAGAGGTCAGGCTGTCCGCAGTGAAGCTCCAGGTCTAACCCAGCTCTGTGAACTGTGGGCAGGGGAGGGGAGGGGCGATCCTTGGCCAGGAGCCTTTTGTATTCAATGGGGCTTCTCTCAACAGATCGCGGTGTACCAGCTGACAGGCACACGGATCACGTGAGCTGGTTCCCCATGGTAAAATGTTTGGACCAATAAGAAAAATCTGTACACAATTGGGAGGCTAATGGAATCCTGGGCAGTCAGCAGCTTTGCGGATTATGGGGAAGCCTCTGAAATGATAGCTATTTGGGGACTGGCTTATTTTTCCATTTAGTGAACACTGTACAATAAAACCAGATGCAGAACAGACATCGGTGTGGGTTTTAGGTAAGCATGAGACCTACTGATTATCAGGGCGTATTTTACACTGTAAATCATTGTCTGCCCTGTGAACTGCCACAGGTCTGAGGCACTAGAAATAACAGAACCACGAAACGATAGAGCTCAGAGCTAAACAGGGCCTCAAAAGGTTCAGGTTGGAGCCTTCAGGCTGGTAAAGATTGATTAGTCACACTTTACAGATACAGCGTCTCAGAAAGGCTAAGTACCCTGCTCCAAGGCACACAACTAAAACTGACTGAGAGACGAGGGGAGAAGGGGCAAGTCTGCTTCTCAGTATAACACGGTGTCAGCTTAGGCCATGTGGCCACAGCTGCGTGGTCTGCTTAGCCCAGAGTGCTGCCTCTGACAAACGTAACAAAAATACAATCCAGGACGCCCTGAGAAGCGTGGGCAAGATGGGAACGTGATTTCATCTCCGTGGTGCATTTATTTGTTCAAAGGCTTTGTGTGCGTATGGTTTTACATTTTCTTCCCCTGCCGTGTATGCTCGATGGGCAGGGCAGGGCAGGTGACGAGATGCTATTCTCACAGTTTTACTGATGGGGATGCTGAACGCCCTGAGGGCCAGGCACTACCGGCAGCGGACAGTGAAACACAAGTATACTCTCTTCGCTTGGGGTTTCCAAAGAACACATGACTTCTTCTCCAGTCTGTCTTGTCCTCTGGCCTCCTGGCCCTCACTTCTGAGCAATTAGCCATGATGAAGGGCACGGTAAGCCTTGAGAATCAGTCCTTAAGATCCCAATAGGCAGAAGAATTATTTCCTGGAGAGCAAGGCCAGAGACAGGCTGACCTCCGCACCCTTGTAATGTTTTCACTTGGGGCCATGGCTATCGCCTCTCAGCTGCCCACCCCCGCCGCTGCCGCTGTTTCCTCTGCAGGACCCAGCCCAATGCTTCCAAAATTCCAGTTTGATCATTTCACTCTCTTGTTCCAAAATGTTCCTTAGTGTCCAGAGTATACCAAGGATTCACCTGCCTGACATTTAAGACCCTTCATGATCCAACCCAACGGTAGCCTTATATTCTTCTAAAATAATAATAACAATACGTGTAATAATAATACTGGATACTTTGAACTTATGAGCCAGGCATTGGGCTAACTGCCTTGCATATTACCTAGACATTGTTAGCGGTCTACCAGTATCCACACTTCCTCGCTACCAAAACCTAGATTTTGTTCAGTGGCTCATGGGCTGACACCATGTTATACTGAGAAGCAGACAATGAATCATGATTGCTCTAAGTCAGTGATTCTCAAAGTACAGGCCCGGAACAGCAGCATCATCAGCTGCTGGGAACTTGTTAGAAATGCAAATTCTCAGGCCCCACCCCAGACCTACTGAATCAGAAATTCTGGAGGTGGGGCCCAGCAATCTGTGTTTTAACAAATCCTCTAGGGGATTCTACTGCTTACTCAAGTTGGAAAACCAATGTCTAAGCCAATCCTGACAATCTGGATCCCCACTTCCCACGTTGGGGGTGGCTTTGTGACTTAGTCTGGGCTCAGGAGACCAATGTGAAAAGCTGGGGGAGGGGTATTCTGGGAAAGCTTTTATTTTCTTGGTAAAAAGGAAGAGAGGCATTCCCTGAAAATCTTCTTAATAAAATTGCAAACCTCCACTGTGCCCCGACCTTTACTCTCTATCTCCTTACCAACTTTAATTTTTCTTCATCCCACCTGGAGCCTCTTGACTCTACTTGTTTATTGTCTGTTTCCTCCACCAAGATGTACCCAAGAGGGAAGGCCTTTGTCAGTCTTGTTCAGCATGTCCCAATAGCCCAATGAGAACAGTGTCTAGCAAACTGTGCTCAAAAACTTGGTGTGTGTTTATTGATGAATGAGTACAGCTGTCTCTGCTATTCCTCTTCTTTCTTGCTTTGAATGAGGAATTGATGGCTGAGGCTGTGGCAGCCACCTTTAGACCATGAAGCAAGAGAATCGCAGAAAAACTGGCTCTGACATTGCTGAACCACCAAGCAATGCCCACCTCAGGGCCTCTTGTTAGGGAAGAAAAATAAATCCCTATTTGCCTGAGCCACGGCAGTCAGCTCTCCTACTCCTAACAGCCCCATGCACTCCTACGTGACAGATATATTTAATAAATTTAACCTTTGCAACAACTGAATTTAGAGGTGAGGAGCAAAGTCTCATAGCAGTTAAGTAATTTGTATAAGATCATGTGATCCTGAAGCTATTTTCCTTGTGGCCTAAATCCAACTCACCTTTCAGCCCCAGTGTAAACATCTGTGTCGCATTCCCTGATCACCCCAACCCACCAAGAGCCGGCTTGAGGTAAGCATGTGCAGTCTAGATCATCAGTCTAGGAATTATAAGTTATTTGTCTTCTTTTTCTAAGCAGACTGTTAAATGCTTGTGGATGGGCATCATAACACATCTTATATGCTTATGTTCTCCTTCCCCACACACCTGCTGACAACAATTTCATTCTGAATTGGATGCCACTAGCTTACTGAGCAACTTTTTTTTTGACCCAGACATTTAACCGCTGTATTCTTTGATCTTCTCACCTGAAAGTCAGAGTACCAGCCTGGCAAGCTCCAGATCAAGCTCCAGATTTGTAAGACAGAATGAACTTTGCTTAGTACTACAGAGCTAAGGGATAACGAAGGGAGTATTGGTTCAGATACTATCTAGTAGTATCTAGTAGTATCTAAGGCTGCCGGTGCTTCTAGAACAAACCAGTACAAATCTATCAGCAATGTCTATGACAAAGAGCCTAGTAGGGTAAAGGGCACAAGCATCAAACACTTGCTGTCTTACCCAGCACTCAAGCATAGACACTCAAACCAGATGGCCCCACCTGGCCCTGAAATGGAAGGGTCAGGGAAAAAAGAATCAATTGGCTCCACAGAGAAAAAAAATCACTCTCCAGTCTAATGACGCGGACATGGTACATAAAGAACACCTGAGATGACTCACAGAGAAGAGTAATTTAAATTTCCCCAAGAAAGGCATGAAAGTCCTTCCTCCTCTGTGGAAGGAGCCAGTTTTTATTTTTGTTTTTTTTTAATGACATTCAGGGGGCTTCCAAGAAAGCTGAGTGCTGACAGGGAAGTGCAGAGCCACGGCCAAGAGGAAGGTGAGAATGGAGGAGTGGCTTTAAGAGGCACAGATGAGGGGCAGCCAGACTCTACTGGTCCTCAGCTGGGGCGGGGCCTCCTGCCACACACAGCCCTCTGCCTTTCTTCCGAAGGTGAGTGCTGCCCTCCGCTGGCCTGCCCATGGGACGTAGCCTGTCCGTGGCAGCCGGTCCTGGAGCCTCCTCAGACCCTGCCCCGGGGCCATTTCTCCCACAGCTTCACCTCCGGGGCTCTGCTTTCTTTTTTGTTGGATTTGACTCACTTTGATAAGTAGAAAGAGCCAAAAAACATTTTTTTCCTTAGTTGGTAAAGGCTTTACTTTTAAATTTCCTTTTAAAATTTAAAAGGTATACAAGTCAGAATGATAGAAATTTAAAGTTGAAATCCTAAAAAAAAATCATGCAATCCCCACCCGGTTTTAATCTAGTTTGCTGGGTTTTAACCTTCAGCTCCAAACCCACCCCCCACTTCTCCCACCTTCCTTCCCAAAGGTGAATCTAAGCTGCTGTCACTCACTCTCAGACATCCCTGCTCGGCAGCTCTGGGGCAGGCACCTCTGCCACCCTGGCCCGTTTGCTGAGTTCTTCACCCGGTGGCTCCTCGGCTGCTTCCAACTTGCGCTTGGGGGACGCTGGGCCACTGGGTAGTGCTCTTGGGCCTATAGGGAAGCAGGTCCAAGTGTCACACAGACTGTGCAGCAAGCCAAGATGACCTGAAACTGGGCAGTGGCAGCTCTTTAAGGGGCAGGGAGCCTGCATCGAAGCCATGCCAACATGTTCCTCCTCAGGCCTGCCCCTCAGCCTTCCTTTCAGCAGTGACCTTGCCCGGAAATGTCTAAGGAGAGCACGACCTGGGATGCTGGCAGCACGGCCAGCTTTTGGGCCCCAAGCCTCACGGGCTCCAGGCCAGAGATGGAGTTGACGTGTGTGCTGCCCTTGCTCCGGAGGTCAGGCATTCCCTCCATGATGCCGGATCAGCCTCCTGAAGCAGCACCCTCGTCTGTGGAGCCAGCCTAGCTGGGCAAACTAGAAAAAGCCCTGGAGTTCTTGCTGGTCTCATCTTAGTGATATTTATCTCTGAGCCAAGGAGTGGGGGAGGTTAAGAATTCAGCCCCATCACCGGCCTGTGCTGCCACCTCCTGCCTGGACGACCACGGCTGCCTCCTTTCCAGCCTCCCTGTCCTCGCCCCTGCCCACACTGTCCCCCTCCACACAGCAGGCAGAGTGAGCTTTTGACAACCTAGATCAGATCCCCACACCTCCACCCTGCTGACCAGCCGGCAGTGCCTTCTCAGTGCACCGACGACAGAATCCTACTCCTCCTCATGGGTATGGAGCCTGGGGATGCTGCTCCTGCCACAGCTCGTCCGCATCTCCTCCTAGCTCCTCCCTCGAGACATGCCAGCCACACTGGCTCCCTTCCTCTGTTCCTTGCATGAGCTAAGCTCATTCTGTCTCTTGTCTTTTCTTGCTATTCCCTTTGCCTGGAATGCTCTTCTCCCAGTTCTCGGAAAGCCGGGTTCTGCTTGTGACTTGGGTTCCTGCTTAGACTGGCGTTCCCTCACTACTCCAATCTAAAGTACCATCCCCCTTCCCCGGCTCCTCTCGTATCAGGTCATTCAATTTTTTTTTTTAAGATTTTATTTTATTTATTTATTTGAGAGAGAGAGCACATGAGAGGGGGGAGGGTCAGAGGGAGAAGGAGACTCCCTGTGAGCAGGGAGCCCAATGCGGGACTCGATCCAGGGACTCCAGGATCATGACCCGAGCCGAAGGCAGTCGCTCAACCAACTGAGCCACCCAGGCGCCCCAGGTCATTCAACTTTTTTTTCCCCAAAAGCACCTGTTATCTGAAATGATCTTGCACGGTTTCTTTACTATTTGTCTCTCCCAAGTGGAATATAAGCTCTATATATGGGGCACAGACTCATTCCAGCTTTTGACCTCAGCCCTCAATGACTCAAGTGGCAGTAGGTCTGTGGTGTCCTCTGGATGGACACAGGCCACAGGAGGCCAGCGGCTACTCACCTGCACTGCTCATGCTCCCAGTCTGGCCCGAGCTGGGCTCTGCCACCGGGTTGCTGAGGTCTTCCACACAAGAAGGGACGGACGCCAGCAGACCTGGGAGAGAGGCACGGGAGCAATCAGAATGCCATCTCACAAGACTGCAGAGGGCCACAGGGCAGTTGAAGACAAGATGGGGTGGCGGGGGACAGGGGGTGCTGGGCCATGACTCTGACGGTCCACCTCTCCCCACTGGCCACAATTAAGAGAGGCCTGATCCAGCCCAGCCTGCAGTGCCCTGTGCCCTGGGAAGTCAGGTCAACTTAACAGCTGAGAAGAGAGCACCTGGTCTCCCTTTGCAAATATCTGGAAATCCCCATAAAGCCCGCAGGTACGTCCTTCTCTTCAGTGAGCTGGGGGGTGGGGGGTGGGAGTAGTGGCTCCTTACAGAGTCCCCGGTAGCGGGAGAGCTGCTGGTAAATCTGCTTCATTCGCTCAATGTTGAGCCGGCTGGTCTCAGCATGGTTGACAATGGGCCGGGGGTAGTCCACACCAATGATGCACTTGGCTGCCTTCTGAATGGACTCAGGGGCATTCCAGGGCTCATAGATGTATCGAGAGGGGAATCCTTTCAATATGGGCAGGTATCGCCTGAAACACACACATCGGACAACTGGTCAGCACATGGCGACTCTCCTTCAAAGGGCCACGGGTATCTTATCTTAGGAGCCAGCCCCAGCAGCCAGCAGCCAGAGAGCCTGGACCGCAGCCTCACCTGATGTAGTCTCCGCTGGGGTCTGTGCGGCGGCCGAAGCCCACAGGGCAGTAGCAGTGAAAGAACTGCTGGAAGAAAGCACTGCAGGACAGCCACATCCAGCTGCCCGCATTCACGCTGAAATCTGCATCCAGGAGCAGCTCATCAAATACCTACATGGGGAGAGGGTGAGACAGTCAGCCTCGATGGGGACCTACTGCCAGGTGCTCCCCAAGTTACCACATGGCCCATGGAGAAGACAGAGCCGAAGCCCTCTGCTGAGGGCAAATCAGGAAGGATTTGGAGGGGATCCCTGGATTCAGGGATCCCACCCCAGGCCTCAGGCCAGAAGAAGGCTGCCCTTGCTGGGCCTGACAAGAGGGTATGGACTAGCTTCCCCTGAGAGCGCACTCACCCGGACCCCGCTCTCCCAGCTGACCCAGAGGTCCCCGCGGGTGAGGAAACAGGCCACGGCATGCCGGGCCAGATGGTGGATCCAGCCCTCCTGCCTCAGCTGGGTCATGATGGCGTCGATCCAAGGGAAGCCTGTCTTGCCCTCGGCCCACTTGGCCAGGGCCTCGGGGTTGCGGTCCCAGGGGATCTGGATGCAGATGGGGTTCCCTTCCATTCGGTCAAACCTGGGGTTGTTGGTGGCTGCCGTGTAGAAGAACTCTCGCCATAGGAGTTGCCCAAACAGGGAGAGGGGGGGCGTGCTGTTCCGCTTCACCTGGGGGTGGGGGTAGCACACGCATATAACACTGGCCCAGCTCTCGGCGCCATGTCACTCAGATCTCTCCCACAGAGCAGTCTGGAGCTGCCACGAGTGTGGTGGTTCCAAACCCCTAGACACGTGGAGGGGACTATGCCCTAGCAGTGGCCAAGCGTGCTCACAGACTGAAACCCACAGCACTCCCTGGCTGTGTGCACCGGGAACCAAACTCCCCAGGCCTGGCCCATGATCCTTGTCTTCAAGGGTGCCTGCTTGGCTCTATTTTCTAGAGTCAAAGGGAGTTTACCCATCAGCATACATAAAAAATGCTCAGTTTAGATTCTGGTTAAATAAGTGATTACAACAGCCTGGACCTGGGGCCTTGAGGGAATTAAAAGATCAGACCAGGCCTCCAAGCAAATAATGACTTTCCTAAAATCACAAGATTCCAAACTGGCAAAGCCACCCCATGCCACAAAATCCTGCTACAGGCAAGGACAGGGAAACAGCATGAAACGACACAGACGTAAGGATGACTTGCTGAATGCGGATAGTTGGATGTTGTCGCCCTCTTTCCTTCTGGGGGCAGGTGCACTACCACAGGGTTATTTGCCTATGGTCCATACAGGACAGCCCTGCATTCAGCCCGGGTCACTTCCCTGTTACTGGTAGGCAGGTTACTGCTCCTGGGCTCCCCCGTTAAGGGCTCCGCGCCAGCCCCACAGAGGGCTGCTGTGCTCCTCCGCTTGGGACTGGTTCCAGCCTTGCCCTCCCCGCCTCCCAGCCCAAGTGCTTGCCCGGCAGCTCTTCCACCTGGAGGGTCACACCCTGAGGTCAGCTTTTCGGCCTGTCCTGCTCTACTTGATAACCTGGAGTTTATTTAGATCAGCAGTTTGGGTGGCGCTGGGTTCTGCCACCTCTTAGGTGGTCATCCTAAGGAGGATGTGACTCCTCCCTACCTTCTCTGGACTGTACACAAACATAAGCACCCCCGGAACCCACAACCCGGTCCCCACCACCAGGGCCAGCGGGGAGGGCCTCTTTGCAGGGTGTCTGGCCCGCAACCGGGGCAGGGTGTGCTGCCCTCGCCGCGCCCTCACCTTTTTATACAGGTCCCACAGGCGGTAGTAGAAGAGACGGCTCGAGAGGCAGCCGAAGCGCAGGTAGGGGCTGAGGCCCGTGGGGCTGGCCAGCAGGGAGTTGGCGTTCATTCGGGGTCTCTCATAGTTGGCAACCCAGGCCTGCAGCAGGAAGAGAAGGCGAAGAAAGGAAAGGCCTGGACGTTGCAGAGAACAACCCCGAGGCACTGGCACAGTGCTTTACCTCGCGGCTCACCGTTACGTGGCTTCTCCCGTGGGGTCCGGACAATCCTCTGGGCCAACACTTATCGGTACCTCCTTTTGAAAACGAACCACAAAGCTCAAAGGATTATGTGGCTCTTCCGAGGTTATAGACGTGCTAAGAGACAGGGCTGGGCGGACTTCGCTTCTAACTCCAGATTCCAGCTACAGCTGATAACTGTTTCTACCTCAGCTCCTCGCAACCCTCTTTTCCTCTTCGTGATGCCTCTTGCACAAACTTTACACCCTCTGCAGACCTCCTCCTCCACATTTCCCCACCACCCCTCAGCAGATGACTTCCCTTCCTTACTGTAAGGAAATGCAAGCCTTTGGCTGAAAAACTCCTCAACTCTTAGCCACCAAATCTACAAACTCACCTGGGTCCACACCTCCCCATCTCCTCCCCACTGCCTCTCTGGTGACTCTGCCCAAGGCCAAGGTCTCCCCTGGCTCTGGAGCTCTCCCCTCTTCCCTCCCCTGCACCTTCCATCTCTCCCTCTCCAGTTTCCACACCAAGAACATTGGGAAAATCATCTAATTTCTTTGCAAACAAAAGAAAAAAAAAAAAAGAACCTCTAGGAAGCCTGTGGACCTCTGTCCTGTCCACTTTCTTCTCTCCACAGCCCATGTCCCATAGCCACCTGCACTTCTTGGCCCACCCCAGCATGGCTTCTGCCTCCACTGCTCCCTCCAAGCTGGCTCCCACAGAGTGCGGGTGATCTCCGTGCCACTGAGTCCCGCAGGCGCTTACGTGCCATATTTTCGGACCTCTCAGCATACCTCACCCTGCTCTGGTCTCCACACCCTCTGTTCCCTTCGCCTCTGGACTCCACACACTCCTGGCTGCCTCCCACGTGGCTGGCTGCCTCCCCTCCCAATCCCTTCAATGTTGGCATCTCAGGGCTCTGTGCTGGGCCCCTACTCAACTGTGTTCCTGGGGAAGCACGTCCAGTCCCATGGCTCCCACTGCCACCTCTGTGCGGATGATCGACACATCGGTGGCTCCAGCTCAGACTGCTTAGCTACTGCTTAGCTAGACTCCCAGATCACTCTATCCAACTCCCTGCCGGGATCTCTACCTGATTGCTATCCAGGCCCCTCAAAGTGTAACAGCTACTTTCTACAGAGCACCCTTCCCTGGGCATTTCTATCTCAGAAAGCGCACAGTCATCTACCTGGGTGCCCAAGCCAGAGGCCTGGTCATCACCTTTGACTTCCTTGTCGCCAAGTCCTGTCAATTCTACTGTTCAAATACTCCTCAAATCTGTCCTTTTCTTCCCCTCTTCCTACCAACCGGGTTCAGGCTACGATGTAGACAAGACAACTGTGACAGCCTCCCAACTGACCTCCCTGCATCTCTTCTCATCCCCCCTCTAATTCCATCTCCACACTGGGAGCAAAGCAATGGCTTAAGAACACCGTCCTGCAGGAACAAACGTGCACTGGGATTCCTGTTGCTGTTAGGATAAAGTCCCAATCTTAAACATGGCTTACAAGCCCCCCACTGGCTGGATGAGCCTGTCTTTCTTAGCTTCATCTCTTGCCACTCTCTTGTAAGCACCACACTCTTGCGGGCCTTTGCACACGCAACTCCCTTGGCCTGGAATGCTGTCCTGCTTTTTACTCACTTTCCCTTGGTTAACTCTGACTTTTCCTTCAAGTCTCAACCTAACAGTCACCTCCTCTGCAGGTAACCGCTCAGGTATCAGGTTAAGTGCCTCTGACAAACACTAGGTATATCTGTCTGCTCACACCCTTACGCACCTCCCTCTGAAAGCCTTTTTAAGTGAAATACAGATACGGAAGTAACACGAATGTGTGGCTTAATGAATTATTCTAAGGAAAACACTCATGCAACAATCACCAAAGTTCAAGAACCAGAACTTTGCTGGCCACCCCAGAAACCCCAGTCACAGTCCCTTCCTGGCCCCACAAGTGACCACTCACCAAACTTTTATAATAATCACTTCCTTGCATTTAAAAATGTTGATGTTTTCCTATTTTTGCAATGCGTATTTGGGAGGGAGGGCTTTATCTTTTTAGTCATTCCTTGCATTTTTTAGAGGGGGGAGGAGCAGAGGGAGAGGGAGAATCTTAATCTGAGCCTGACTCGGGGCTCAATCTCAAGACCCCAAGATCATGACCTGAGTCAAAATCAAGAGTTGGACACTTAACCGACTGAGCCACCCAGGTGCTCCTATTCCTTGCATTTTTAAGTGGGTTTTTTTTTCAACCACATGTGCATCCCTAGGCACTATAGTTTAGCCCTGGCCATTTACAGGACTTTGATGTGTTATTTAAGTTTCTTTTAATCCATGTATTTCCGGTCATTTCTTTCTTTCCCTTGCTTTGTGGAAGAATCCAGGCCATTTGACTTGTACTGATTCTCACAGTCTGCATTTTGCTGATTGCACACTCATGGTATACTGCCTGCAAATTGGTGGCTGGCACCAGAGACAGGATTGGACTCAGGTTTGATTTCTTTGGCAAGACTGTGGGGGGACAGAATGCCTGCCTAGCTCTCTTTATGGGGTTAGCAGTCATTAATGTACAACGCGTCATCATTGAAGGCTGCAAAATGCTAGTATTCTAATTCTATCATTCCATTTTCATTTAAAAATGGGGATACTTTTAAAAAGAGATGCTTGCCCTCATCTACTATTTTGGGTAACCCAGTAGTAAAGATCATGTGGATTGTCTCCCCTTTTTGGTGACAGCACCTAATTTTCTTGTGGTGATCCAGCCTTCCCTAATCTCAGTCCAAGTGGGTGCAGTGCAGCTAAGCTCACCTTCTGACTCTGGGAGTAGGCTCAGGATGCAAGTCTGACCAGGGAGAGCACCACTTCCTTGGCCATGATGACTGAGTCAGGGACTGTCGCATGACCCAAGCCAGGCCAATGAAAACACTCCTCGGGACTTTTCCTGGAGCTTTTGGAAAAGAGGCATACCACACTTCCTCTGGTGTGCTAAGCAGATTGAAAATAAGCTGCTGGTGACTACTTTGCCACTATTTAAGGAAAGCCTACCTGAGAATAAACTAACAGAGAGGAAAGCCAAGCTCAGAGATGGAGAATGTATTCCCGGTAGCATTATTTGGACATCTGGGTCCAGCTGTGCCTGAAGGCTACACCTTAGACTCTTAGTTACATGAGCTCAAAACCACCTTTTTCAAAAGCCAGCTTGCAAATACAAACTGACTAATAAAAAAAAACTCTCTTGCTCTTTGCTCTCCTAACCCTTTGAACCACTCCTTTCCTGACCCACAGTACATGGTAATTTCTTGTTTCATGTCTGTCATCTGCAATAAACTACTCTCCTGGAGACAGACTTCATCCTTGCCTCACTGGGCAGTCTTTCCAGCAGCTAAGCCATCTTGACATGAGTAGATAGATGCTCACTTCAGAGTCAGAAAATGGAAGACTGAAATAAATCTCCTCAGAGCCCGTTACACTCCTGCTCACAGGCCCCTTTTCCTCTCCCAGTCGTAGGACACATCGTCGCCATTGGCCACCACGGAGTCTGAAGGATCCTGACACAAGGCCCTATGACAGACCAGACCCAGGGTTATGTGGAAAAGGACCCCCTGACTTGGTGATCGAAGGGGCAGCCCTCCACGAAGTGCTTTTAAAGTGACGATAATCCACAAGGCTGTAAGTTAGCTCTTTATACTTGTCAGTCTTATTCCTTTCCTGCCATCCTGTTTGTCACCTCCACCACTCTGCCCCCTTGGCCTGGCCTGTGTCCCCAAACTGATCCCAAGAATCTTTGGGTAAAGCTCCTGATGTGGACAAGGACAGCTGGTCCTCCCCAAAGCCCTTGGACATCAGTCTCATCCTTTTCAGTTGGTGGGGCTGGCTGAAGGTAACACCCAGAGAGGGACATCAAGGCCTATGGGCCTAAGGGAGGTGGGATCTGAGGCACATTTTCACTGCTGGTGAGGCACCTCCAGGGCTGGGAAGCATTTTTCCTATGTAGGTCTGCCTATTTTTCCTCGTTCCATAGTTATCACTTGGCTGCTGGGCCAAATGCTTACCTATCTGAGAATACAAAAGGTTGTGAACCCGTCTACAAACCAGCAACAGCGGGCAGAAAACCAGCAACTGACTCAGTCACGAGAACCTTCTCTGCTCCTCTAGCTCCAGGGTCATGGAAGCCATGTGACATTGTTAAGGAGTGCCTTTGGGGCCTCCGCCTCTTTCCTCCCCCTTGCCAAGCCCCACTTCACCGGGAGGTGGGCTATTTGTTCTCTGTGTCCAAACAAATGGAAATCGATGCCTTGGAGGGGACCCAGCAAAAGGTGAGGAGAGGACACATAAACACAAAGAAATTAATCTTATGGACTTCACTGACCAGATACCCTCTCAGTAAGGGGAAGCTGCATAGAGATGAAAGAAAAGCAATCTAGGGTAAGTTCTGGAAATCACACAGAACAAGATCTAAGTCTACTATTTCCTAACTGTGTGACCTCAGGCAAGTTACTTATCCTCTCTAAACCTTACTTTCCTGATTTGTCAAATGGAGAGCTTAACACCTACCTGGTAGGGATGTTGAAAAGACAACAGGAAATAGCGCAAGTAGGTAATTTACCCAGTGACCAACATGTGGTAAGCACTCACTAAATGGTAGCTACTATTACTGCTGTTACTGCCGTCAGGGAGGTTTTTCACTTTCGAGCACTTGGAGCTAAGAGGCACTAAAAGCCATGAAGCTGACCCTCACATCCCCTGCCACCTGGGTGCTAGCACCCGAAGTTCTGTGTCCCAGAAGTGGGGGCCATACCTTCCGTTCCAAATGCTTATCCAGGCGGGCCAGAGCTTCTGTCTCTCCTCCTTGCCAAACAGCTGGGCCCAGTCCTTCGGTAGGGAACCCTACGCGAGGAGGGAGAGAAGGTCACAGGACCAGAAGTCAGGCCATTTCAGTGATAGCTCAGCAAGTCTTGACACATCGGTATGTTCTTTGAGCTTCATGGGAACTGAACCGTTTGTTCTTGGTGCTGCTGGGGTTGAGATCATCTTAACGTTTCAGCGTTTGCCAGGTCTTCCCGGTTCTCCTTCTGTCATGACTTCTTTTCTGTCTTCTCCCTTGCCTTCCCTATCCCTGCCACTCCTCGTTCCAGGCACACGAGAACAATCCTGTCCTGCCCGCCCTATTGGGTTGGCGGGCAATGACTGCTGTTTTCAGGTGAGAAAGGCTAACTTTATTCAGATCAAAAAATGGGGGGTGGGGAGGAAGGGGAGAATGGGTTCAGTCAGTAACCTGAGGGGCTGACAGACCCCCTCTCAGTGGAAGCAACACTAGTTAACTTGGTATTGAGGAGCCCACTGATGCCAGCACTATACTGTGCCTGTATCTTCTGAGAGAGAAAAGTACAAAAACAGGAGCAGGAATTACAAATGTAACATTATGTACATGAGTAGGAGCAAAAAGAGACTGGGAAGACATGCTCCAAATTAAATAGTGGCTATCTCTGGGTGGTAGGGTCATAGTGATTGTTATTCCCATTCTGGTTTCACTGTATCTTCAGCACCGGGTATAATAACATGCACCACTTTGACAAAGCAGAAAAAACCTGGTCAGTTATTTTACAAAAAAGGGGGGCTCTGGGCAGGAAGTACGCACCCAGCTCCTCAAGGGAGGGCACACCATAGGTGTCATCATGGTTCTCCTGGATGTCGGCCCTGCAGCTCTCCATCTGCTGGCTCGTCACAGAGCCCACGGGCTTCTTGGGCAGCTCCATGCGGCTGATGATGGCCTGAAAGCGCTTGTAGGTAAGGGGCGGCTTCTGCCCATTCAGCTCAATAATCCTGGGAAACCCAAAGCACACCTAACGTCATGCACGAGGCCCTTCATTTCAGGTCCCTGCCCACCCAGAAAAGAGCCCAAACTTTGAAGGCTTGGAGGGTGGCTTTCCTCATCCACTCATGGGTCCCACCCCTAAATGGAAACGAAGGGGCAAGGGAGGCTACACCTCCATTTTACCGAGAGGGAAAATGAAGCCCAGGGAGCTGGAGCAGGTGCCTCAGGTAATGGAGCAAGGCAGGGCCAAAGCTGGGACTCAATTCCAGGTTCCCTGGTGTCGACGTGGAGCCTCCTAAAGACAGAGACTGACCATATCTCTCTAATCACAGAAATATCCCCACTAGCCCTCTTGGTACTCAGCCTGTGTGTCCAAGTCATGGGAATCCCCATGGCGCCTTCCTCTCTATCCCAGCATAAGCCTTCAGGAAGTTCTTTGATAAGAACTGCAAGCATGTTCCTTTGTTGAAAAATCATTGCCTTCTTGGCCCCAATTTATTAGAACAGAGAGGTGGAGAACAGCCTATTCTTCCTAGATCAGAGACTGGGACTGGGATTAATAGCAACAACTATTTAAAGGGTGTTTGGCAGCTTACAAAATCTGTTTTCATGATCAAGGGAAACAGAGCTGCATTCAGGTAAGAAAAAAAGATACTGGACTGAGGAGGAGAATCAGGCAGTTTCTATAGAATGCCTTGGGGTGGTCTGGAGCCAGATTCCCAGGGCTCTTCCTGTTGGCCAAGCGGCAGCTTATGCAAGACCTGGCTGGCTGGGTGAGTTCACTGTGGGGATATAAGGTTGGCTGCAGCCCCTGCAGTACCTCCCCCGTCCTCTGGCACGCGGCAGGAGGAGGAGCTCCACACCCAGCAGCTCCTCCTGAGAACTAGCTCACGTGCAGAGATGTGTGACCTGGCCTCCTGGCAGCCACCACTGGGTCTGGGAGACGGGGGCAGGGAACAGTGACGGCTGCCGGCTTGGCAGCAACAGCAGCAGGAGGGTGACAGCTCTGCCAGGGAAGGGGAGGAGAGGGTTTCCTCCTAGACACTCTGAAAGCAGAGGCCTGTCCCTAGGGAAGGAAGCTGCTCTGTAGTGATGGGCCCCCTGCAGGGAGCTCTAGAGCCTCCTGCACATCTAAATGCATGGCCTAGAAACCCAGATAGCCAGAGGAGCCCAGGGAACCCGTATTAGGTACAGAAACAGGACCTATGAGAACAGAGCTCTGTCGGGAAGGGCATAATAAGCAGGGTCCACTGAGGTCAGAGGACAGCCTTTCAGGAGCAGGACAGAAGTAGAAGCATGAGGAGGGGATAGGACAGCAGATTAGGAGCAGATCTATGAAGATCTTGCATGGGGATCCTCACTGTTCTCACCCCTCGGGCCTAGTAAGCCTCTTTGCACCCAAATCGGGTAAAGCTCTTTGTGATCTGTTCCACAGGCCCCAACTCTGGCCCATTCCCCTCCAGCTTCTAGAAAATGCCATACTTCTTGTGCCAGGTGGCTTTATTGGTAAATCTCCCAAAGTTCTGCTCAGCAGGGGCCCAAACCACCAACTCCCACAATTGGCAACCTGACCCCTGGGACCCATGTCTTACTTGTCCAGGTCATAGAGAGTATGAGAGTTCTCAGTCACCACCTCCACGCCGGCCTCCTTGGCCATCTTCATGATGGCTGCATCCCGTTCTTTCCCAAAGGGTTCAGAGTCATATTCAAAGGTCAAGCGGGTCACCCCCCATTCCTGTGGGGAGAGAATCTGTTATGCTAAACACTGTTTGGGGAGAAGAATGCAGCTGAGGACTCAGCTGCTTCCTAGGAAGAGACGAGTCTAGAGACCTGTCAGAATGGGCTGCAGAACAAACTAGGGACAAAGATTTGAACTGGAAAGCAAACAATCTGAGGTTCCCAGGGTTGAGGAAAGCAGGCCTTTGAGGTGAGGCCACCAGCATGGCAACAGTGGAGCCCGAGGCTAGTGGAATTAAGAGAGAGGTGGGTAGCCCTGTACATTTGCTGTGTCCTGGGGTAGGAGAATGCAGCAGGAGGGTATAAATACAATGCTCCCAGGGGAGCCCCCAGTCCCAGAAAGCAGCACTGACTCACTGGTGCAGACAGTGGGGGAAACGATCACTGCCTCCCTCCTGCCCAGCATGCCTTTCCCAGAGCTCCTCAGAGCCCTACAAACTTCTGGCTTAGTTTTCTTGGCAGACTTGCGCTATGTGAAGTGTCCTAATGGTTTCCACAGCAACCCTCCCGAGGCCAGTAGCAAACAGAACTAATAGGCTCTAGCTCTCAGAAAAGCTGGGGAAGGAGGAGCAATCCTTAGTCCAGAGGTCAGAGAAATCAGATCAGAAGGGCCACATGTTAAAAAAGAAGGGAATTCTTTTCCAAGCCTTTAGTCTTTCCTGGTAGAATTTTCTAGATTTCCTTGCAATGCTGGGAGAAAGCTGGCCCAGTAAAAGGTTGTACAGATAACCCACAGAAAGCCCTAGAACATGACTAGCAAGAAGAAAACTGCATTCCAACCAAAGTCTCTGGTCATGGCCCCTTAATACTCTAAACCCCTAGGGCAAATCCTGGTCACGCAGGACCTAACTCAGTCCTGCCTGTGGTGTGGGTCCTGAGCAGGGCTGGCTATCCCTCATCCAGGAAAACGGGACTAAATATTTATTGAGCCCTTACTATGAGCCAGGTACCATGCTTAGCAATTCATATAGATGACATTGTCAAAAACTCGTTAACTTGGTGAATAATAAAAAAGTATTATTAGATGCCACTTTCTCCAAGAAGCTTTCCTTGACCTTATCTTTCAACAGGATTTTCCTGCACGTTGCCCTTTTCCCATCACAGCATTTATCATATGGCAGTGAAGTTGCCCATTACTTGCCTGTTTCCCCCATTAAGAGTGTGAACTCTCAGAGCAGAAACCATGCTGTCTCATCATTACCCTAGTACCTCACTGCGGGCCTAGGACATGGTAGAAGCTCAGTAAGTATATGGTAGTCACCTCCTGTCTGCAGGAATGCGTTCCAAGACCACCAGTGGATGCCTGCAACTGCAGATAGTACTGAACCCCACACAGACTGCTATGGTTTTTCCTATACATACTTACTCAGGATAAAGTTTAATTTATAAGTTAGGCACAACAGATTAACAAGAATAACTAATAATAAAATAGAACTATAAAATATACCGTAGTAAAAGTTACGTGAATGTGGTTCTCTGTCGTAAAACACCCCCTTGCCGTACCTTACACTGCACTGTCCCTTCTTCCTGTGATAACGTGAGATGATATAATGCCTACGTGAGGAGGTGAGTGAGGGGACGGATGCAGGTATTACGATGTGGTGCTGAGCTACCGATGACCTACTGACTCTCTGTCAGAAGGAGGATCATCTGCTTCCAGACTACAGTTGACAGCAGGTGACGGATAAGGGGACAGGGGGACTATCACATGCTAAAGGACTGACTGATCTCTCTGTACCTCTGGGCCATTGCTGGGTTGGCCTCTGAGGTGCTAGGGGGAGAGAGGGGAGACAATGCAGAGGAGGAGAAGAGGCCACTGTGTTTAGTGGTATGCTGGTTAAGAACACAATCTGGAGCCAGAGAGCCGGGACTCGAATCTCCAATCATCACCTCTCAGCTTTACAACCACGAAGCTATTATTCTGTCATCTGTAGAAGAGGGATAGCAGCCCATACCTCTGGGGCTGCTATGAAAATTAATGTATGTGAAGCATTTACTTAGAAGGGCTCTTGACTCCTAGTCTGTCCTCAGTGAACACCGGCTATTTCCAGCACGGTGTGATTTATATGTGTGTGTCTGTGTGGGGGTGTGGGGAGGTGAAGTGAATGATGAGTGAATGATGAGGTATTTCCTAAGCTGCCTGCCTTGACAGCAGACCTTTCCTCTGGTCTTTTCCCCCCGGGAAGGGTAGGGAAGGGAGCTGGAGTGGAAGGGGGTATGAAAATGATCCTGCACTGCTGAGGATGCGGAGAGACTATCCTAGAGCCCTCTGTCCACGAGTAGTTTTGCTTTATAAAGAAAGGGGTTGGAGCGGGGGCGGGGAGGGGGGAGCTGGCTACCTGATAGAATAGACAGAGGCTTACATGGTACCCAAGTGAAGATTTTATCAACCATTTGCCCCAGGAGCACGAAGCTCCCTCAAAAAGGCTGATTTTTCCCCCAATAAACAGCACATAGCAAGACAGGAAACGCCCCGTGCTAAAAAGGAAAACTTGTCCTCAAACTCCTGGCATAGGAAGAGCCCTAATAAATCTTGTTGGCTGGAGCCAAGGAAACATCTGAGGAAGCCAGTGGCATCCAGGGTGGGATAACTTGCCACATCCCTTGTCTGGACTGAGCTGGGAACTTTCCAACAAGACACTGGTTTCACAGAATTTTTTCCTTAACACAGTTTCCATTCTGCTGGCAAACTGATCGGCTTTGCTCCCAACTTCCCTACAGACCAGCACTGACCAGTTCCCTTTTCTGAGTCAGAATATCACCTCATTCAGTCTGCGGGGAAAGTCTAGAGAACAGAACCTCCCCGTCTTCTCTAGGACTCTGCACACTTACCTTGAATAATCTTGGGAATACGTCAGCGGGCTGTCCCCGGACTACAAACAGGCGAGAGTTCAGTTTCCTTAAACTTGTATCCAAATCTTCCAGAGACTGAAGTAGGAACCTGCAGAGCCCACACAGGCCTTTTAGGGGTAATGTTAAGAAAGAGGCACTCTTTTTCCTAACAAAGCAGGGAGATGCTGGTACATCATTAGTACTCTACTCCAGCCAGAACGTGGTGGCGCATCAGCACAGCCTCCACTGAAATCCTGACTTGGCCACTTCCTAGCTGTGTGACTTCAGGCAGTTACTTAACCTGTTTTGTTTTGTTTCTTCTTTCTAATCTGTAACACGGAGTTGATGTTAGTACCTAGCTCCTAGAATTGCTAAGAAAAGAAAAATAATGCATGAAAAACATTTAGTACAGGGCCTGACATGCAGGAAACCTGGGACAAATGTGAGCTGCTCCTAGGCGCCTGGGTGGCTCAGTTGGTTAAGCGACTGCCTTCAGCTCAGGTCATGATCCCGGAGTCCTGGGATTGAGTCCCGCATGGGGCTCCCGGCTCAGCGGGAAGCCTGCTTTTCCCTCTGACCCTCTCCCCTCTCATGCTGTTTCTCCCTCTCTCTCTCTCAAATAAATAAATAAATAAAATCTTTAAAAAAAAATGTGAGCTGCTCCTACTCTGGGGTTTTTCTGTGATCTGAGGCAAGGCACTTCCCTCTCAGCCTCAGGCACTGTGTGTAAATATCCACCTATCACAAGGCTGTTGTGAAAATCAAAAGGGAGAACAGGGGAGAAAGCCATCTGAAAAACAAAAGCAATACCTCGGTATAGAAGCCTGAGGTCCTACTAGAAAGGAGCAAGACTGCAATAGCGCTGGCAATCCTACCTGCCTTGTCCACCCTGCCTTTCTGTATTCATGCTTTGGGCTGCACATATGTCTACTGCCACAGCCCCACAGCCTGGGCTGGGTCCCCAGTTCCCAGGGTTTCGTTTGGCAGGTGGCTCATTTTCCAGGGCTCTGGCCACCAGATTCTCATCCCAAGAGGGAGAAGGCCTTAGAAGGTAGTTCTCTATAGGATATCCTCACATGCTTTTGGGGGTGGAGGGCTAGGGGGGGCAACGCCAGATACTCAAGAGACCTAGCCTTGAGAGCCGATCACTGTGCAGAAGGAAACAGCATTCACTGAATGCCTTCGGTGTTTATTTTCATTTGACCACAAACATTTATTTACTGTTCAGTTAGGCACAACCACCCCTCTGAGAAATCTATCAGTACATTTTTGTGACGTGTTTTATTTTTAATTTTTTTTAAGTTTATTTATTTTTTTTTAGTAATCTCTACACCCAATGTGGGGCTCGAACTCACAACCCCGAGATCAAAAGTTACATGTTCTACTAACTGAGCTAGCTAGGTGCCCCTGACATATGTTTGTTTGTTTGTTTGTTTTAAAAGATTTTACTTTTAAGGAATCTTTACAACCAATATGGGGCTCATACTTATAACCTCCAATCAACAGTCGCATGCTCGGGGCGCTTGGTTGGCTCAGTCAGTTAGGTGTCTGACTCTTTTTTTTTTTTTAAAGATTTTATTTATTTATCTGACAGAGAGAGACACAGCGAGAGAGGGAACACAAGCAGGGGGAGTGGGAGAGGGAGAAGCAGGCTTCCCGCCGAGCAGGGAGCCTGATGTGGGGCTTGATCCCAGGACCCTGGGACCATGACCCGAGCCAAAGGCAGACGCCTAACGACTGAGCCACCCAAGTGCCCCAAGTGTCTGACTCTTGATTTTGGCTCAGGTCATGATCTCAGGGTTGTGAGGTTGAGCCCCATGCCTAGCACAGAGCCTGCTTAAGATTCTCTCTCAGGGTGCCTGGGTGGCTCAGTCAGTCAAGTGTCTGCCTTCGGCTCAGGTGATGGTCCCAGAGTCCTGGGATTGAGCCCTCTGTCAGGCTCCCTGCTCAGCAGGGAATCTGCTTCTGCCTCTCCCTCTGCACCGCCCCCTTCTCCACTCATGCTCTTTCTTGTGCTCTCCCGCTTGCTCTCAAATAAATAAATAAAATCTTAAAAAAAAAAGATTCTCTGTCTCCCTCTGTCCCCCTTCACTTCCCTCCCTCTCTAAAAAAAAAAAAGAGTTGCATGCTCTACCCACTAAGCCAGCCAGGTGTCCCAACATGTGTTTTATTTTTAAATTAAATGAAATTAGCATTTTAAACAGATAATTATGTAATTTAAAATTCAAGTTATAAAAAGGTACCTCGCAAAAAGTCTCCCCTTTATCCGTCAGGAATTTAATTCCCCTCCCCAAAGGCAAACAGTGTCGTCAATGTTATTATCTGTTTATGCTTTTTAAGCATGTTTTCTTTTTAGTTCTTTCAATACATTTTGAAGGGAAATATTGTCTTCATTTTATAGATGAGGAAAATGAAACACAGGATAATTAATTTGCTTAAGATCATAATTATTAAGCAACAAAGCTGCCATAGGAAGCTGTGTCCCATCTCTAAAGCCTTTTAGTGGCACACCAGACACGACTCCAGGGGCTGAGATGCTGCCAGACCTCAAGTGTTTGGAATCGCTCTCCGACAAACACAAACCTGCATATAGGTAATCCATGGACATTTGGAACCTCGTGGGGAACTAAGCCCCGACAGGTCAGCCTGCTTCACAGATACCCCTGCTATCTACATTCTGCCATCTCCCACCCATCTCCGTCAATGGTGGAAATCACTAGATTTTATTCTGAACCCAATGAAGCCCCATGCCTCTTCTGCAGCACATTGCATCCCCTGACTGCTGCTGGCTTACAGGAGCAGCCCCTGTTCCCAGGCTGCCAACTAGAACCAGGACCCCACTGCTGCCTCTGACGTCAACAACATGACACTCCCGGGGCAGCAAATGCCACAGACCCACATTCCAGCAGCAGCGGAGTCCCATGCTCAGCCCAAAGCATCCTGCTAGCCTGCAGAGACTCTCCGAGAGAGGCAGAGATGAGAGACTATTGCTTTCTGAAACGCCAAGCTCTGCCTCTGTGAATTTTTGTTTTTAAGAAACTGACACCCTCAGAAAAGGAAAGCTAAGCCGGGAGTGACGCACTTGCACTTGTTTTGGCCTCTTCCCAGGTCACACTGTTCCTCTCAAGAGGAAAAGAAGAAAGGCCCCTGGGAACAGCCTTCTACCACCTTGAAACCTGGGCCCTGCTGGGGAGAACGCCCAGAGGTAACTGGAAACTTAAATTCCATCACCTCAGGGCACCAGGTCCCCCATCTGAGGCTCTCAGGAATGTCCCTGCCATGCACGTTGGTGGCCTCCTCCCTCACAGGCCACCAGGCTGCACAGGTTTTCAGTTTGAAGCTATAAATAAGGCTGACGTGAACGTGAAAGCTAGGCTCCAGCTGCCTCCCCAGAGCTTTATTTCTAGACCTCATTTACTAAAAGGAGAAATTCTGAACTAAGCATCTCTGAAGAAAGATAAATAAGATAACCCCACGAGAGCCCTTTTCTTCTTTGACAAGAGAAGTCTACAGCTGAGGCAGGAAGCAGAAGGCCCGACTCTGAACTCCGCAGCCAAATGACAGTAATGGTAACACCAATAACTAACATTTAATCAGCATTTGCAATGAACCCAGCACTGGTCTACTTATTTTACATACATTATCTCATTTCTTTTTTTTTTTTTTAAAGATTTTATTTATTTATTTGAGAGAGAGAGAGAATGAGAGATAGAGAGCACGAGAGGGAAGAGGGTCAGAGGGAGAAGCAGACTCCCTGCTGAGCAGGGAGCCCGATGTGGGACTCGATCCCGGGACTCCAGGATCATGACCTGAGCCGAAGGCAGTCGCTTAACCAACTAAGCCACCCAGGCGCCCCATTATCTCATTTCCTTCTCAAACAGATCGGTGAAGTAGGTACTATGATTATTTCCATTTCACAGATGAGGAAACTAAGGCATAGATTGATTAAGTAATTTGCTAATAAGTGGCCAGAATTCAAACCAGGCAGTGTGGCTCAGCATCTGCATTCTTAGCCATCAGGCTCTACTGCTTCTTGAGCAGGACCTCCTGCCTGAGCACTGAGGCTGTGCTGTCCAAGACGCAGCCTCAAGGGGAACCACAGCCAACACCTTTGGCCCCAGATCCTTGGTCCTCTGAGGCTCAACAGCTGTGAATCACCCAGAAGCTTGTTGAAATGCAGAACTGCAGACCTCCAGGATCAGAATCTGCATTTTAGCAAGAGCCTCTGGTGACTCCTTTGCACACTAAAGTTTCACAAGCACTATTCTAGAAAACTGAACTCCACTTCTAGCTTCTGTTTATAAGGTGCCTTTCTTTACTTCTAATTTGTTTCTACTAAAATTTCTCTCTTTGAGATCCTGGTTTTGGCCTCCTCTTTGATGCTCTAGATATGCTCTGTTACTTCCAACTTCCCTCCTGAGTCCAGCCCTACAGGGCTTTTCCAGGAAGGAGGTTTAAGGATGGCCCCCATAAAAGGCAACAGGCCCCCAGGAACCCCAGCCACCAGGCAGCCAGAGAAAGAGAACCCACTGCTACATTACCTCACCTGCCAGGTGACAGTTTTGCATAACACCAAAGAAACAGGGAGCGGCATTACTACTGGGCAAATGCTTGCTGGGGCAGGTGTATGCATTCTGTCACTGGAGAGAATTTTGGACCTTTTGACCTCCCTTAAAACCCACCTCTCCACGTGGTCAGTTTCTCTTTACTCCAATGAGAGTGGACTCTAAAGAAAACTGGCCTGGGCATTGGAGATGGTGGCATTTGGGGCTGGCGGCTCACCCTTGGCAGCTCCAAGCTGAGCTCACATGGCCAAAATTCAGAGCACACGGTCCTGTGCGAACAGTTAAAGCTCACCCTTAGGATCAGACAACATGTGCGACTGAATTACATTATGTAAGTGCGCTGGAGCTAGAGGGGGACAGCACTGGAGAAGACCAAACAGGGATTTCCAAAAATACAGAAAGGACTCTATAATTCAGGCACTCCATGGGGCTAGCTCTTTTGAATAAGACAGGCGGATCTTTAGAGAAAACCTTCCCTAGAGATGGCAGATTCTGCATTGAGGAATATTTTATTTGTTGTTAACAGGAGGAGGGATGATAGTGAACTCTTTTTTGGATCCAGATTGCCCTTGACCAAGTCTCTCTGTATCAAGCCAAGGTTATCTAACTGTATGATGGTATCATAGGCCTGCCCAGACTGGCTACATAGGATATTAATAGAAATTAATTTATCCTAAGTAAGAGAGCATAAGCCCCATGAAAAAGGGTGGCCCAAACCCACAATCCATAGCAGGGATTGATCTCTAAGTATCACTCACTTAAAAATACATTTATTCTTTCCTAATTTCAAAGAAAAAGATGAAGATTTTCCTCCCTTTTCGACACATGGAAACATTTCCTCAGTAGCAGAACAGTGAAGTGACTCTTTTGGGTACCAGTGTGAATAGCTCAGAGAAACTCAGATTTCTCCCCCAGTAGACTACAGTTCTCAATCCCCTGCTTGCTGACTAAGTCCCAGGGACGAACCAACCAAATCGACAGTCTCACAGTGATTAGCTCCCAGCACCGGGATGAGAGACATATTGTTCTCACCAGGCATCCTGGAGTTTCCAGTTCACCTCATTTATTAATTCTGAGCTACATGGGCTGATATTTTGTTTCTACCAACTCTCCCTGTCCTGGAAGCTCCTGAATACAGGTGCAGCACAGAACCAGGGAGAAAATGATTTAAATACATGGTGCAGTGAATTGTTGCCAACACCAATCGAAGCTGCAGGAGCAAGAGGAAGGCAATGAAAACCCATTTTGAGTACCCATTTTTATTTTTATTTTTTAAAGATTTTATTTATTTATTTGACAGAGAGAGACACAGTGAGAGAGGGAACACAAGCAGGGGGAGTGGGAGAGGGAGAAGCAGGCTCCCAAGGAGCAGGGAGCCCGAAGCGGGGCTCAATCCCAGGACCCTGGGATCATGACCTGAGCTGAAGGCAGATGCTTAACGACTGAGCTACCCAAGGGCCCCGTGAGTACCCATTTTTATTTATTTATTTATTTATTTAAAAAGATTTATTTATTTATTTATTTGACACACAGAGAGAGAGACAGCAAGAGAGGGAACACAAGCAGGGGAAGTGAGAGAGGAAGAAGCAGGTTTCCCGCTGAGCAGGGAGCCTGATGCGGGGCTCGATCCCAGGGCCCTGGGATCATGACCTGAGCCGAAGGCAAACGCTTAACAACTGAGCCACCCAGGCGCCCCTTGAGTACCCGTTTTTATTTTTATTTTTATTTTTTTTAAAGATTTTATTTATTTAGTTGACAGAGAGAGACAGCGAGAGCAGGAACACAAGCAGGGAGAGTGGGAGAGGGAGAAGCAGGCTTCCCGCTGAGCAGGGAGCCCGACGTGGGACTCGATCCCACGACCCTGGGATCATGACCTGAGCCGAAGGCAGACGCTTAACGACTGAGCCACCCAGGCACCCAAGTACCCGTTTTTAAATCTAGAAGCTGATCACTCCCCCTTTTTTGGGTGGTTCTCACTGCAGTACCTCCTTCCACATGCAGCAAATCTGGGCAAGGTGGGGCTGGGAAAAATGGCAAAGGGCTTAGCCAACTAGTGCTTGACAAAAAAAGTCCTGAGGCTCACTGAGCTACAATTAGCCCATCAGCTTCCCACTACCACCAAGGCAAGGAGTATGCCAGCCTTTCTGCTCTGCTAATATACATATTTCTTGGTTGCCTTTCTCTGTCCTCTTTGACTCTTAGAAAGTGCCATTTATGGTTATTTTAATGATTCATCTGCTGAAAAATGCTGTGCAGGAGTTAGTGTAAGACGTGCAGGAGAATAGATATGAGATCTTGATTTGCCCCACCTCTTGCAGATGGCCCACGGCCCACCCTTTCTAGGGAGGCTTCTCCGAGGTAGCAACTGAAGTATCTGCAGAGCTAGGATGTTATGCTGCAGCACAGTTGTCCCAGATCACTCCCAGATCCAGAAACAGCCACCGGAAGATTACATAGACCGTAGTTATGCAGAGGTACAGCTGGCTCCATCACTGCCCCAACCCCCAACTGAGTGTGTAAAACAGTCTGCAGTTCTGCCCTGGATCTGATCACAGGAGCAAAGAGTATGGTGGCGGTGGCAAGCGGCGTATCTGCTTCCAGGCCCAGGAGCAGTTATCATATTCCATCTGTTTTGTGTTTTTTCACCTCTTTCTTCTTTTTTTTTTTAAAGATTTTATTTATTTATTTGACAGAGAGAGACACAGCAAGAGAGGGAACACAAGCAGGGGGAGTGGGAGAGGGAGAAGCAGGCTTCCTGTGGAGCAGGGAGCCCAATGCAGGGCTCGATCCCAGGACCCTGGGATCATGGCCTGAGCCAAAGGCAGACGCTTAACAACTGAACCACCCAGGCGCCCCTCACCTCTTTCTTCTAAATGCCAAAGCTAATTAGCCTCCCTGACAAAGCACTGCAACACATTTCCGAAGCTGTCAGGCTCAAGTCTGTGGTTCTCCAGTCCAGTGCTTCTCAGGCTTCACTGCACATGAGAGCTTTAAAAATTCTAATGCCCAGGCCATACCTAGAACCATTAAATCAGAACTGGGGAAGGACAGAGTCTAAGCATCTTTTGAAGATCCTTCAGTGGTTCCCATGTGCAGCAAGACTGATGCCGCTCTAATCTGTCCCCCTATTTTATTTCATGGCACTCAGTTCTACTAAATTATGGTTGTTTACTTGTCTCCCTCCACTAAAATGTAGGCTCCAGGAGCTCTGGACACAACTGCCTGTTCACTGCTGTGTCCCTAGCAACACCCAGATCAGTGCCTGGCAGGTACTAGGCACTCATTAAAATCATTGTTCAATTAATATCTACATTCCTACACGGCCTTTGACTTCAGGATTTGACTAAGGCATCTGAGCTGCCACATTCCTTTTCTCCTTCACTTGCTCAAAAGCACTGTCACAAAAGAGTGACCCACAAAAATCCAGAAACACCTAGTTCCTAGCAAATCTGAGTTTAATCAGCAACAGAGGTTTTGCTGATTTTTAATCTCCACTACCACAAAGGAGTAGACAGTCCTATGCAATGTCCCCCCAACCCCGGTAAAATAAAACAAAACCTCTTTCATGACAATGTAACAAGCACGTAGTAGTCAGATTTATTTACTCTGCTCTAATTGGCACACTGCCATAAACAGAGGGCAAAGTCTGAGGCTTGGTTTAATGCCCATGCCAGGGATGGCCATTTGAAGATGTTTGTCAAACCCAACCTCCTATCTATAGAAACTGGAGCAGACGCAGAGCAATAGAGCAGCCTGAAAACTGTGTGGGCAGGCTCTCCACAGGACTATCTTTAGTTGTTCTCTCTGTATAAATGGGGCAGGAGGGGGCATTTAATAGACCCACTGCTTGGGCTACTCACTCTCCTAGCAGGGCACACACCTTGGGGAGGAAAAGAATGGTGTACTGATAGCCACCGTAGCCTGGGAATAACACTGCCCATCAGTGCAACATGGCCACAAGCAAACATTCCCCAGAACAATGCAAACAACCAAAGGACAGCTGCGGGGTATTTTAAAGAGAGAAGGGTACAGGATGTTTCAAAACTCCTTGGTTTTAAACACTTATTACAGAGAAAAGACATCAGCTACCTACCTGTTAATCCTTTCCCATGATTCTGTTGACTGCATTTCCTGGGAATCATCAAAGAAGGATCTCCTTGATTATCACAGCTATTCTGCTTGCTAACCTCAGCACATAAGTTGATAAAAGTCTAATCTATAGTGGCTCAACTGTGCTTTAAAATCAATCTCATGAGAAGAGAAGGAAGGAAGTGATGTTTTGGCTCTTCTTTCTTTCTTTCTTTCTCTCTCTCTCTCTCTCTCTCCTTCCTTCCTTCCCTCCCTCCTTCCTTCCTGTCTCCCTCTCTCTCTTTTTTTTCCTAGCAAGCTCATAGCTACCGGTTGAGGGAATTCTTCAAAATGGGTTTAAGTACTTACTTTCTAGCTCAGGACACAAAGTGCCTCTAACTGGACAAGCTCTTGGGGTCTTCATAATAAAAGAGAGATGACACCTGCCTTATCTAATGCTAAGCCAGGGTCTCTAGGCATCTCCAGAGGCAGGAAGGTCTTGGTAGAGGGAAACCAGAACGGGTGAAAGGATGGATTCAAACAAACCAGAAGCTTAGAGATGACCTTCGGGAGCCCAGCAATAGGCTCTTTTCTTGAAGAATGCCAGAAGCACCTGCTGTGCTACCGACTCGGAAACCCACAAACGCGTCCCTGCCCTCACATCCCAGTATCTCCTTTCTTCCCCTCCCTGAGCACACCCCTAAGAGCCCTGGACCAGGAGTCCCTGCTCTGCCACTCCCTGGCTTCAAGTCCTTGGGCAGGCCAACTCTGCGTCTCTAGGCCTCAGGAGTTCCGCCTGTACAATGGGGAATAAGATCTCCGTCCCACAGGAATGCTGTGAGGGCCCCCAGGGGCTAATACACAGTGCGAACGCGCTCTGTCAGAGGTCGAGCCCTGGCCCACCCAGGCCATTACTAAGATGACTAATTGCTTCCTTCGTCCGCGTCCCGGCTTCTCCCCTCTGGAGGCCCGGCTCCGTCTCCCTGTCCCACCTCCCTCAGGCCAGGGTCTTCCGGCCGTGGGGCCTGGGGGGCAGAGCCTCCCTCTCTGTAGGGCGGGGGCGACCCGGGCTGTTCGCGGGGCGCCCTCGAGGCCAGGCCGCTTTCCCCGGGCCCATGACCCCGCTCTCGGGCCCCCTTACCTCCACCGGTTGATCCCCACTGAGGAGGAGGCCGCGAACCAAGGGTCCAGGATGTAAACGCAGCGTACGCAGCGCGCCCCGCGCACGGCCGCCAGCAGCGCAGGGTTGTCGTGGAGCCGCAGCCCTTTGCGGAACCAGTGCACCGAGGAGGCGCCATCCACTCCGGCTGCCGGGACCGGGGCCGCCGCTGCCGCCGTCACCACAGCCGCCGCCATCACCACTCTGAGTGCTTAGGCCTCCGCCGCCCCGCCCCCGTCGGCCCCGCGGGCCCCACCCCTGGCCCGCCCAGTGACCTACGACGCCGCCGTTCCTCTCTGTGGCCCCACCCCCGAGGCCCTGGAGCGCCCCTGCCATTGGCTGGGCGCCTCCCGCCGGGCGATTGGCCCAGCGACGCGGAGTCCGGCCCCGCCCCCTCACGTTCCCACCATGTGTCGGTCGGCCGGAGAGGAGGCGGCTGGCTGAGCTGGTGACGCAAGTTGCGGATCCCTGCAGAGGTCTGGGCGTGGAAGGAATCTCAAGGGACCGAGGATGTCTTACATGCGTCCTGTTGTAAGCCTGTCGCTGGAAGCCATCTGGGCTGGTGGGGGTTGCTGTGACTCTAGCCAGTGACTTAACCGGCATCATCCACTTCTACCTCTAGTCTACCTCTAGACATCATCTGCAACATTCTACTACAGCTATTATTTATTCGGTGCATTTTATATACCAAGCAACGTGATAATATTCTTACATAGACTGTCTCATTTACTATTCTTAACCCGGTTACGTTCACTCAACAGATCCCAGTGAAAGAACTGTTATTATTCTCATTTTAGATACAGAGAAATCTGAGGCTGCCACAGCTTGAGTGACTTGCTCCGTATCAGAAAGCGAGTAAAAGGATCCCACCTAGATTATCCTGAATCTGAAGCTTCTGCTTTTATCCACAAAGCTATACTTTTATCTGCGTGGAGCTCCTTTGGCATTTGAAAGTGGCAGAGTCTAAAGAGGGAGGAGGAGTGCCCTGATGTGTGGCACTTGGAGGGGTTGGGGGTAAGGATGGGCAATGCGGAGGATGTGGGTCAAGATAGTAATTATGCCATCAGATGAATTTTTCTTTTTGTTCTCTGTTTAGTAAAATACAGAACAATGGTACCTCTGTGCTCCCAAAGCACTGAGCTGGATTCTGTGTGGGATTCAGAGATATGGAAGACACTGTCTCCACTACTCCCCTGGGGAGCCAAGTGGAGCCCTGTTAATTCTTCTGGAACCTAGCACTGGCCTTGCTGATAGACTGATTGGCAAGAGAAGCATATGAACACCTGCAATGAAGTGTTGATGGTGGGCTAAGATAGCCTAATTTAGATTGGAGCTCTGTGGTTATCAAGTAAAGAGTTTGTTTGAATTTGGCCCAAGGTTGTGTGCATACTCACATCCCTTCCTGAATTTGGAAATGAGCGATGAAGGAATTTAGCAAATTAGTGGCATTATTTGGCACAACTCTATAAACCACTGAGTGGTTCTCAATCCCAGGTTCTCTCTCATTTGCATAAATTGTTCCCTCAAGCCTGAATCACACTCCTCACCCTGTCCCCCCTTTTTAAATTTTTTTTAAAGATTTTATTTATTTATTTGACAGAGTGAGTGCCAGCTAGAGAGGGAACACAAGCAGGGGGAGTGGGAGAGGGAGAAGCAGGCTTCCCGCCCAGCAGGGAGCCTGATGCGGGGCTTGATTGATTCCAGGACCCCGGGATCATGACCTGAGCCGAGGGCAGACGCTTAACAACTGAGCCACCCAGGCACCCCACCTGTCCCCCCTTTTTAAAAATTTATTTTTCTCTCTTTTTTAAAAAGAATTTATTTATTTGGCAGAGAGAGGGAGCGCGCGTGCACATGCACACACATACAAGCAGGGGGACGGAGAGGGAGAAGCAGGCTCCCTAGCGAGCAGGGAGCCCAATGCGAGGCTGGATCCCAGGGTCCCAGGATCATGACCTGATCCAAAGGCAGATGCTTAACTGAGCCACCGAGGCGCCCCTACCCTGTCCCCTTTTTAACTCCAGTTTGTTCTGTGTCACTGCTCAGTATAGATGTCACTTTCTTGCTGTCTGGTCCCAGCCCGCATAGTGCCCATCTCATTCTATGCTGTTTCTTATCACTGGCTTTAGTACACGGTACTGGAATTTCTTGTCTCTCTGTGCCATTAGACTATAAACTGATGGAGGGCAAGGGCCTTGGCTTATTCACAGGTGAATTTTCAGAGTTTAGCTCAGTGCTTGGCACTATTTGATCGAGGATTACTTGAGTAAAAGGTGAACAGAAACTAGTCTCAGGTTGGCAGGAACCTTAAAGGTCTATCCAGGCCTGACTCTGTCCTTGTTTTTGAATCCCAAATGCTTGCTGGAAGAATAGATGCCACCTCTCATTACTTTTCTCTTGAGACTTTGTGTTTCCCCCTCTCCTATCCCCTTTTCTCTCCACAAGGTTGAGGAGGAATGGAACAGAGAGTGTAAGGAGGTGGTTCTTTCCCCCAGCCTCAAAGATGGGTACTCTTTCTCTGCTGAACTCCTGTAAGGCTTTCTGTGTAGACTGTGGGTCCATGAGGGCAGGGACTGTGCTTATCTTGCTCATCAGTATATTCCCAGCACTAGTTTGGTACTTGACATTAGTAGTTGCTCAATAAATATTTGATGAATGATTGAATGTCGTTTATCCCTATCTCATTAGGCTATGATGAGAGGCAGTGTAGTATGATGGTTAAGCCCAAAATCTTGCACGTCTGGAGTGGCTGGATTCAAATTCTACTTCTGCTTTTACTCTGTGTGACCTTGGTAAACTAGTTGACCTCCCTGTTCCATACTTTCTTAAGCTATACAATAGGGATGACCATAGTAGCGAGGACATAGTAAGCATTTTATGAGTCAGCTACTATTATTCTGAACAGCAGGATCTGTGTCTGCTTTTATCTTCCTTGCAACACCTTGTTCTTGGTCTTACACATAATGAGCAATCCATAAGTTGCTGAGTGAATAAAAGATTTTAATCAGTTTTTTAAAGACCTCAAAATTGGGGCACCTGGGTGGCTCAGTTGTTAAGCATCTGCCTTCGGCTCAGGTCATGATCCCAGGGTCCTGGGATCGAACCCCGCATCGGGCTCCCTGCTTCTCCCTCTACCACTCCCCCTGCTTGTGTTCCTGCTCTTGCTGTGTCTCTCTCTGTCAAATAAATAAATAAAATCTTTAAAAAAATAAAGACCTCAAAATTATACCCGTAAAACAACAACAATCCCCCAAACCAGTGCAGTGTTGCATGCATTTTTAAACAAAATATTAAGTATATTCTATATTGCTATGTCATTGTCTTTGTGTTTGTTATTTTAATGACTATAATCCTTCATCGTGTTGATAAGGATGAATTATTTTATTGAATGATTGCATATGGTTTGAGTATAATAACAGGGTAACATTCAAGAATCAATCTGGAAGTAAATCTGGCCCTGGATAGAATACTGGAGTGCAGAGTTCACTTTTGAACTTTACACTTTAAAAGGGACCTAGAGAGGGGCACCTGGGTGGCTCAGTCGCTTAAGCAGCCAACTCTTGATTTTGGTTCAGGTCATGATCTTACGGTCATGAGATCCAGCCTGGCTTTGGCTCTGGGCTGAGTGGGGTGTCTGCTTCTCTCCCTCTCCCTCTGCCCCTCCTTTCTCTCTCTGTCAAATAAATAAATAAATCTTTAAAAAAAGAGAGACATAGAGAAATTGAAGAGAGACCAAAGAAACCTATAAATTGCTAGGGAGGTGAAATGTAGCCAAGTACTATTGTATCTTTGAGAGAAATAAGAAGGAGGTTTGACTTCATAACTGTATACCTTGTAATTTACAAGCATCTTTGAAGAGTGGTTGCCATGAGGATGCCAAACAGTTGCTCCTTGTTTCCATTAGGAGTAGAGCGAAAAGAATCTAGTTTAAGAAAAAAAAATCTAGTTTACGCCAGGAAGAGTAAGAGATTTAAGGAGGAACTTCGTATTCAGTGGTTTAGGAATGAGACAAATTAGTCAGGTAGTGGGAGGTTTCTTTCTTCGCTGAAGATATTAAGAAGACAGAGATCAGTCCTTTTTTTGTTGTTATATAGTCTTGCATGGAGACTGGATTGGGCAACTTTTTACATTCCCTTTGAGCTGCGCTTTGGGTAAATATTTGATGATTGGTTGAAAGGTAACTAGGGGCGGGAGGGAGGGACGTCCCTGGCGAGTTTAAGTTACCCGCGCCCTCTAGTGGTGGGACTGGGAAAGAAGCGGCCGTTCAGTGTCGGGCTGAGCACCCAGCATCAGGGCCCTACCCTCCTCCCTCTTGTTGTGCAGCCGTGGCATTCCTATTCCCAAGATTTCGCACAAAACCTACTTTGATGTTCTTTGAACCCTTCAGCTTGAGAACCTGTAAAACTTATGGGGATTTATGGACCGGGAAGCCAGACTCCTTGTTCCATTTCCGGCTCTGCCGTGAACTAGCAAATTACTTGGGCAAGTTACTTAGCCTTTCTGTGCTTCAGTTTCCTCTTCTGGAAAATGGGGATGATGATGATGGTGATGGTGATACACGTGCAGCATGGAATTGGAGCATGATAAATAGGCAAAAGTCTCAGAATTGAGAGTCCAGGAACAGATTTTCACATAGCTGGGTATTTATTCAGGACAAAGATGTCTTTATATGGAAGTGGGGTAAGGTGGTTTTTCTTGTAATGGCAATCAAACAGATATCCCAATGTAAAAAAAAGAAAGAAAGAAACTTGACCGCTATCTCAGAACATACACATAAATCAATTCCAGGTAGATTATAGGCTTAAATGTGAGAAGTAAAACAGTAAATAAAGCTTTGGGAAGATTATATAGGAGAAAATCCTTATGACCTTGAGGGTAGACAAAGAATTCTTAAATAAGACATGGCACGTGTTAACCATAAATGAAATGATTGATAAATTGAACTACATTAAAATTATGAACTTCTTTTTTGGTCTTTTTTTTTGAAGTATAGTTGACATACAATATTATATTAGTTTCAGGTGTATGGCATAGTGATCCAACAATTCTCTACATTATGCAGTGCTCACCACAGTACGTGTTGTCACCATCTGTCAGCATACAAAGTTATTACAATATCATTGACTATATTCCCTGTGCTGTACTTTTCACCTTCAAGACGTATTTATTTTATAACTGGAAGTTTGTACCTCTTAATTCCCTTCACTTGTTTTGTCCACCCACCCCACCCTCTGGTAACCAGAGTTTGTTCTCTGTAATTATGAGTCTGTTCCTGGTTCCTG